TCAATGTTAAATTCCTAATTTGGCCTTCCTTCATATATTATGTCGATTACATTACATATACTGCTCATGTGACATTGTAACTAATATCTTATTTTATGTGATTTTCAAAAATTAACATATTCACTCTAATAAAGTCCCTGTATAACAATCAACTCCGTCAAAATCTTTTAAAATAAGGAACTGATACTCTTAAAATAAGGAAGTCATAATCCGGGTAAAAATAAGGAACTTTATTACTCATTATCATTTACTTATCCCTGTTATTTCTTAAGTTTACACTTAAACTCCCTAAGTAGTATTTATTTTAATAAGTTTCGTAAATGGTCCATATTTGTTAAATAAACAAATTCATTTTCCAAATATTTGTATGAAATTTCGACGTTACAAAACAATTTATTCACTCGAGTAAACTACCTGAAAATCAGGAAGTGATAACAATTTATTCACTCGACGTTATATTAATATTTAAATCTTAAATCATAAGAGATTTATAGTTATTACAAATATATTTGAACAATTTTCATAGAATTATGAATATTTTATTGTTGTAGACGTTTATTGCAAAACTGATGTCACATATATGCAAAATTAGTTGGCATTGTACTGATATAGATAGCCTAAACAACAGTAAAGCTACTTTTGGAACCAAAAACCAAAGAAGAAATCGCCTCACAATGAAGACTTCACGGTAATCCGAAGGCGTAAACAACTTCCAAATGGCATTGGAATCTGCCACAGAGTTGAATACTATCTACATTGCGTCAACGCAACACATATCCACGGACTTTAGGGATAGTATCTCAGGTAGTTGGCCTTCCGAAAACACTGAAATACTTATTACAAATGGCGTGAAATAACCTCTATCAATGATATTTTTGTTATGTTGCTTACGTGTATTAATTAAGGTTATAAGGCTATTAGGTGTGGACAATGCTTTCCTATCTTATTATAGTTATAACATAAATTGGGGGTGGTGTTCCCTGTGTTATTAAATGTTATAGCATAGTGTTAAAATTAGAGAGATAGAAAGAAAAAGAGGAAAACAATGATTTCATTGGGTGCTATCTCTCGTTCCCGTTACCACATCCTAATAGCACAAAGCTGCAGTGGTGTTGCGTTTTTAGAGTAAATAGACATAATGACATGAGTATGTGTTGCCCAATCCTAATAGTCTAAAGTTAGCTCTAAAAAACTATAGTGGAAAAAAGGATACCAAAAACGTATTGATTATGATGAATGTTTTGCAATTGATAAAATCACGCATCCAATTCAACATCACATGTAGTTTCAATAAATTAATCTATCCATCTTTCTTTTGGTTATTTCTAGGTTGTACATTATTTTAATTTATAGTTTAATATTTCAAATAGTTTTTTTCCGTTTTTTTCGCCTGCCACTTCCCCACCACCTCAACCGTCACCGCCACCAACACAACCACCACCGCCATCACCACTACCACCACCTCCGCCACCAACCGACACAACCATTTTCACCTTTGTCACCTCTATCACCACCACCTCCTCCTCCACCAACAACCGTATAAGATTAATTATTTTGTGAACAAACATATATATATATATAATCATTATATTGGGCATATATGTTAAACCATGTATAATCATATATGATTATACATCTCCGCAAATGTATAATCATTTACGATTAATCATATCTCGTCATCAGAGATACTCAGTAGAAACAACGTCGTGTACACACACACACACACACACACACATATATATATATATATATATATAAGGAGTGAGAGAGTGAGAGAGAGATAGAGAAAGAGAACTTCATCTTAGAATGAAAAATATTTGAGACCACGAAATGAAGTTGGATCACACATTCCTTCATTATTGTTGCAAAGCTCCAAAGCCACCGACGAGTTGACGTTTTAGTGACCGGAAGGGTATATCATTGGGACCTCCCCCACCACCTCTACAATATCTATTGCTACTACTACCACCAATGTTACTACCACTATCGCAATCATCACCACCTTTACTGCCACCATTGCTAAAACTTCCCTCCTTCGCCACCTCTACTGCCACTACCACCATTAACGCTACCGTCTCCAATAAGTGTGACCACCGTTACAAGTACCACTAAACACCAATGTTACCTATGCTACTCTAACCATTGGTACCACTACAACCACCCGCCCACATCATCATCAGTGCCACAATCTTTGGCATAAATCATATATGAATAATTACTTGTGAGTAGACATATATTAAAAATAATATATGAATAAATCATATATAAGTATACCATTTAATATTCACTTGTGAATATATTTAATTTTGTATTTTTTTGGTTTCTTGTAGTATTATTTTCTGTTTTTGTAAGAGTTTGAATTGAATCTTGAGTTTATACATAATCATTTGAGTTTTTTGTTACCAAACAGCTTCTAGTCCAACGGTATCATGTGTTGTTCTTCCTCCTTAGAGAATGAGTATTTTTTTTTTTTTTGAGTTTTTTTTGTTGATTTTTTAAATAAGAAGTTATTGTTCATTGGAAATATTTGGTTTAAAACACTATTCCTATTCATGTGTTGTTACAATTTCTTGTAGTGCCCGCATAACAAGTGATGATTGCAAATAGCAACATTAAAAAATGACTCACATTCACTTTCTAATATCATTCCATTTCCTAATTCATGACCAACCAACTTTTTGGGTTAATTAATTGGTTTGTCATTCCAGGATGTATACTTGTTCATAAACAAATTGGACAATGGCAAGTAACCACTATATTACTGGAAATCGTATCAGTTTATGGATTAAGTGATTAGTAAAAAGAATAAATGGACTCATTTAGAACTATGAAGCAGTTGCATTTACCTGAGAATCTGTGGCAAGAATGAGTTTATGGAGGAATTAAATAAGATGATTTGGTTTCGAGACATGTACAATACAAGAACAAATCAATGTATACTTTTAGTGATACACGATTATATATATATATATATATATATATATATATATATATATATATATATATATATATATATAAGCATGGTTAAGAAAATATCGAATAATTTATCATAATATATGATCCAGGCATGCATGATAGTTTTCAATCTTGCTATGAAAATATATTTCCTTGATAATATTGAGTAAAAGACTTACTTTAATATTCATTGCTTCCCCAATCGTCTTGATGATCCTATCCAACGTAGGGCGTTTCCTTAAGTCCAAGTTAATGCACTCATGTGCAACTTCAAACGTAGGGCGTTTCCTTAAGTCCAAGTTAATGCACTCATGTGCAACTTCATTAAATTTTTCAAAGGAACTCATATTAATATGACCTCTGATAAAGGGATCCATTAACTTGTCAAGTCCGCCAACAAGTTTATGGTCATCATAGTGGCTTCTAACTATGTCGATTAGATATCTTTCCTTAGCATCTGCAAACCGCTTTTCATAAGCCATCGTCCCACTTGACATTTCAAACATTACAACTCCAAATGAGTAAATGTCAGACTCTTTAGAGAGCCTACCTCTTTCGTTGTAAATTGGATCAATGTAATACCTTGTACCAGAAGGCATTGTACGGATATAGGTCTGTGGCTGATTTCTTGGACCTAATCTTGGCAAACCAAAATCACATATTTTGGCTTCCAGAGTATCATCTAACAAGATATTTGCACTCTTCATATCTCTATGAATTACTGTCTTGTGTTCCCCAAGCAGATCTTCAGGCGTTTAAACCTCTTGCTACCCCCAAGCAGATCTTCAGGCGTTGTGTCCATGTTAGGCAACGCCTCATATTTGGGTCTTGGAGGTGATAATCAAGGCTTCTGTTTGTAGCATACTTTTAAACTATAATTTTTCTCTTTTTCATCATCACAGTAGCCAACGATTGGGATGATGTTTGTATGGTTGAAACTTGAAACCAACTTGAGTTCATAATACTATAAAACATTGAACCCTAAATACCTGAGTGAAGGTACTTTAAACCTCTTGCTGCCCCCAAGCAGATCTTCAGGCGTTGTGTCCATGTTAGGCAACGCCTCATATTTGGGTCTTGGAGGTGATAATCAAGGCTTCTGTTTGTAGCATACTTGTAAACTATAATTTTCTCTTTTTCATCATCACAGTAGCCAACGATTGGGATGATGTTTGTATGGTTGAAACTTGAAACCAACTTGAGTTCATAATACTATAAAACATTGAACCCTAAATACTGTGTTTTGATTTGTTGGTTGGATTTATAAAGTTTGATTCTTTATTATGTTTGATTGATTGCTTTTATCTTATGTATTGAAGTTTTAATTTTTATTACCTAAAAATGATTTTTTATATACACTACTAGAAAACATGGCATTTTCCTACAGAAAATAGCTACGGAAATTTGCCGTAGCTAATTAGCTACGGATCAGCTACAAAATGGGATGCCCTAGTTTAGTAACAGAATAGCTACGGAATAGCTACGAAATCGCGTCCGTAGCTATTCCGTAGCTAATTAGCTATGGAATAGCTACGGAATAGCTACAGATCCAAAATCTGTAGCTAATTAGCTACGGAAAACCTATGGATACTAATTACCTACGTAGTATGTTTTCCGTTAGAATTCCGTACCTAATCCGTAGCTAAGTAGCTACGGATTGGCTACGAATTTATCTTATTTTCGATTTTACAAGCACCAAACGTCGTTTTTTTCGCTTCGTTATTTTCACACCTCTACTATATATAATTATATATATTTTCACCAACTTGTAGCTATTAATATCGTGCATAAGGTCGTGTGCCCCTTCGGGATCAAGTACTCGTTTCACAGTTTAACATTGTACTTTTCACCAACTTGTGATGGATTATGTTTGTATATGTATATTTATACACATGAATGAGTTGTGGTATATGTGTACGTGTATATGTGTATGTATACGTGTTTGTGAGATGTATGTGAACGTATTTATAAGCATTATAGTGTTAAACCACTAAACGAGTAATGGATCTCGTATGTGTGACAACTGTAAAATTTAGGTCAATTCAAAGTCAACTAAAGTCAACAAGTCAAACCGTTTGACTCAATTTGCCCTTGGGTACTAGAATTTACATTATGAAATTTCTACACAACTCTCTATTCTAATGAGAGATCATAAATCAAAAGTGCGAACATCTAGATCTCCTTAACCAAAAACTGTGGTACGTGGCTAGCCAAACCGATAAAACAATGTTGCATACTCATCGGGAGTGTGTAAGATCCTTAAACAAGGCTTAACGGTGTTTACGGACCTTGCATTGCGAAGCCAGACACTCACAAATGCCACACTCGAAACCTCTCTCAATCGTTTTCACTCTATCTATCTCTATTTGAAATCTCTCTAAGTATGTGAAATCTCTCCCAAATCTCTCTAAGTATGTGAAACCTCTCCCAAAACTCTCTTTGTATGAGAAATCTCTCTAAGTATGTGAAATCTCTCCCAAATCTCTCTAAGTATGTGAAATCTCTCCCAAAACTCTCTTTGTATGAAAAATCTCTCTAAGTATGTGAAATCTCTCCCAAATCTCTCTAAGTATGTGAAATCTCTCGCAAATCTCTCCAAGTATGTGAAACCTCTCCGAAAACTCTCTATGTGTGAGAAATCTCTCTATGTATGTGAAATCTCTCCCAAATCTCTCTAAGTATGTGGAATCTCTCCCAAAACTCTCTTTGTATGAGAAATCTCTCTAAGTATGTGAAATCTCTCCCAAATCTCTCTAAGTATGTGAAATCTCTCCCAAAACTCTCTTTGTATGAGAAATCTCTCTAAGTATGTGAAATCTCTCCCAAATCTCTCTAAGTATGTGAAATCTCTCCCAAAACTCTCTTTGTATGAGAAATCTCTCTAAGTTTGTGAAATCTCTCCCAAATCTCTCTAAGTATGTGAAATCTCTCCCAAAACTCTTTTTGTATGAGAAATCTCTCCAAGAATGTCAAATCTCTCCCAAATCTCTCCAAGTACGTGAAATCTCTCCCAAATCTCTCTCCAAAGTTTCCCGTAACTTTTTGGAATCATTCGGGTCATTTCGACCCTTAACTAGGTCAAAAACGGCTTAAAACGGGGTAAAAACGAGAAAAATGGACATTAGGAACCGAAACCTCTCGAGAAGAGAGAGAAGCTTCTTAGGACCCGAAGGTTCTCTTAGGGACCGAGAGCAAGAGGGCCGAACCCGAGCCCAGGAGGAACCGAACCCGAGAGCAGGTGGAACCGAACCCGAGCCCAGGAGGAACCGAACCCGAGCCCAGTAGGAACCGAACCCGAAGGTACTATTCACTACTGTTCATTCGGTTCATTTCGGGTCTGACTTCTCGCCTTTCACCTCCGGACCGAACCCTTGCCTTCACCTTCGCTTCTCGCTTCCTCACCTCCTCTCGCCTCCTCGTCCCTTCGTTTCCGGCTACAATCCTCAGCGTGGATCGAGTCTTGGCCTAGGGACCGAACCTCGGCCTAGGACCGAGAGGTCTCGCTGGGAACTCATTTTCTCCCGGTTTTCGCTTAGTTTTGCGTTTAAGGCCCGTTTTTAATTATTTTAATGCGGGATTTTCACCCAAAATCATATTTTAACATAATAAACCCTAAATATTCACAATTTAATCATATTTTCATAAAAATCTTTATTTAAATAATAAAAGAAAGTGGGTAAAGTACAAAGAGGTGGAGTGTTGACTTTGCTTTACCTTATGACACAAGCAACCACTCCCACACTCACTCTATGACCAGCCATACCTCCCCACCTTACCTAGGTCACATCAATGTCTTTTCCACTCAATTATCACTCTTTCCCACGTTTTTGAGAGCTGAATATTCATCCTCTCTCCTCACTTCTCTCATTTGCTCTCATTTCACAAGAAGATCAAACACTTTCCTCTCGCACTTTCTCTCTCTAGAAATTCGAGATTCAAGGGCTGATCTTGAGTTTTTCCTCCACATTTGTTAAGCATAATCCATTCTCTTTATGATTATCTCACTTATTTCCACTCAAATCATGGATATCTTACACAAACTCCATTATATTTGTGTTAGAGCTTCGAATCTTCAAGTGATTCTTCAAGTGTTCTTGCGTTGAACACTTCTCTTCTTCAACACTTATCTACTGAAATCACTCAAGGTGAGTTCATACCCCTACATTTTCATGTTTTCTCAAGTTTTCAGGGGGGGAATACAAGTTAAAACACTAAAAACATAACTAAATTTTTCTAACAGCCTTCATCAGAAAAGTTCAACTCCATTCACGGACTGTTTTGGGCATCTTAAACATTTTTGTTTTCAAAACTGTACAAGGTACAAATAGTTCAAGTTTTTAGCTTTAAAATGACTACTTGCACATCTCCATACGATTTTTCTACAATTTATGGTGATTTTTACAAAACTGCCTATCATTTCAAACAACAATCCGGACCAGTCTGTGATTATGGACTTTTTCACGCAAGTCGGAGGTCATTAAAAATCGTGATAAAAATTATGAGTAAACTAGACACATTTTGTGAACTTTCAGAATTTACGGATCTAGTTTTTGACTTCGTATGATTTTTCTATGATTTTTCCAAAACAGTGTAGAAAAGCTAAAGTTAGCCAACAGCATATACATATCATAACACTTTGTATTATGTTGAGCAAAGTGTGTAAATCATAAGTTCAAATTATTGAATGTGTTTCTTTGTTAGTTTATCATCATGAACTGAAACTAAGTCATTCTTAATAAATATTATGTATTCATTTTTGAACAAGTATAATAAACTATAAAGAGTATAGTTTAATAAATTCATAACACTAATACATTTCCATAAAAGAGTTCATACATATTACATACATTTTAGATAAACTATAATAGGTATAGTTTATGATACATCACTCAACACACTCGTACATAAAGGGTACATTCATACAGAAAAGATTTATATTTACACACATTTCACGTAAACTTGTTAACCTATATTGTGAGACTCTCTCTCTCTCTCCCCGTACGTCCGAGTGCGGGATATAATTCATGGTAGTTATAATCAGAATCACCTTGAGGGAGAACGTGATACTTGTATATAGATCTATATTGGGTTTGACACCCCACACCTTGCTGCTAGCTACAGTGGGACCTGTAGGTCTACGGGTGACAAATGTCATTTCAGTTTTCGCGACGCCTGAGAACGTCGTGGCAGGTTCACATAGTCATAGTATGATTATAGCGACTCACATAGGGATATAACAATCCATAAGTTTACGGGATTTTATTTTTAAAACCTAAATGAGTTTTATGTCGATTTAAAATCACTTTTTATCTCAATGAGTACAGATATTACTGTACACTTTTGGTTTTGGTAGTTACGACTACACATCATTTGAAACCACATTTATGTTGGATTAGTGTCTAAGTCCATAACTATTTTGGTATGTACTTGACCCGATGGTGCATGGTCCTTTTGGGTTGCCTTCACCAAAGCAACTTGATTGGAGAAATGAATAAAGAGAGAGAAGATAATACGATTTATTAATATGTTATAAGAATAATATATTAAAGGAGAAATCATATTTGTTTAATTAATATTGGTCAATAATTAATTAAGAATTAGTTTTGTGATCAAATGTAATTAATTAAACTAGAGGGGCTGATTTGTAATTATGTGATAGTTACAAAATAAGGTAAGGATTATCTTATTTATATGGTGGACGAATTTA